GCCGCTTGCACGTTCCCCGGGGCTGCTGCCACTGCTCTGCACGCGGGTCCCGGACGCGGGCAGCGCGGCGCCTTCCAGTCCGACTCCTCGCCAGGTAACCTTCAACTCAATCCCCAGGGTTCCCCTACAACTTCCCTGCTCCCCTAAACGCCGGCATTCTTTTCTCAGGATTATCCTAATCTAAACATTGTCCCCCCTAATCCTACCCCCCATTACAGTCAGTATCAAACTCCCTCCAGGATTCTCGTGCATTTACAAACAGCCAGTGCCGCGTCCTCTAAAAAAAAAACAAATAAAAAAACAAATAAAAATAAATCAGGAAGGTCCTAACCCGAGGTGGACTGGTTTAACAGGTCCCCTCGCGGGGGACAGTATTTGTCCCCTGATATTTCTAATTCGTTATCCTCAGCGTTTTCCTGTGTCCCCAGGATTTGACGCAGAAGCTCCAACGTCCCCAAGCTTCTTGCGGCGGGGTCCCCGCTCCTTGGGAGCACACCCAAACCTGCTTCTCTGAACTTTTTCGTGATCAATCTTGGGGTCCCCCCCTCCACTGCCTCCAACACATCAAACAATTTCCCCAGGAGGCCTTAAATTTGAACACCGCGTTTTAAAAGACAATGAGGGTTTTCCTGAATCAGAAACCATCATGTGTCCCCTACCCCTTTCATTTTTATCAGAAAGGTCTCTGATCAACAGATTGCCTTAGCATTTTTTGTGGCCTGGGGGATTTGCGGGCAGTGATTGCCCAGCGTCCACGGGCTTCCTGGCCACTAATCCCAGGTGATCAGAGCCGCGCATAGCTGGTTCAGGGACACGTTGCGGTGGCTTTTCTAGGTCCCTCAAATCAAGGTTCCCCCATATCCCAGACTCATTCCCTCTCTCTAGACATGTCACCGTATTTGGGAAAAGCTCATCTGGGTGGGGAGACAGCCAACTGTGTCTCCAGCAGGTACCCTTCACTGATTTTAAATCCCAGGACAATTCCTCACCAGCTCGATGACAAGAATCTGGGTTTCCTAACATCTGGCCAGCGGCCTCCAGCTCCCAGGCCATACTGAAATCTCTTTCTGGGTGTCTTTGATTTAAACTTGCTAGGCGCCCTCAAATATTAGGCCTTGCCTTCCAGGACCCGCCAAAGCCAGTCAGTGTTTTCTCTGAGTGGAAAAAAAAAAGGGTTCCAAAACACCTAGGCACCCCCCATCTGCCCCAGGTCACCCCAAGTTCCAGAGATATTTCCTGACCCCTCCCAAACACATTGTAAACTCCCCAGGGAAGGCATGGCCTTCTCCAAATCCCATTACAGATACACCTTTAATTCATCTACCCTCCAAATTCACCCCCAAGCACCCTGGGGACTTAGGGCAATTTCCCCGGGCCCCCAGATCGAGAAATTAGCTTCCTGGAGCCTCTCCACTGAGATAACATCTCCCTACCTTCAAAACAAATTGAGCACCCCACTCCCTCTCAGAAAGTGAAGCTTTCTTTCTTTCTTTCTTTCTTTTTTTGTGAGCACTGCTTTTTCTCTCTTGACTTGATATCCCCTGGGATGAGTCTCCCTAAATTTAGGGAATGCCCCCAGGGTCCCCAAAGTCCTCTGCATTGTCCA